TATGATTTTTACCTCTAAGTGTACATATGTTACTAGATGTGATCGGTTACGTACCGTTCGGTTTGAGCCTCTCAATTGTTACAGCTACTTGTTCATTCAACATGTTTTTTTACATTACTTATGTTGATCATTCATTCAATTGAGACTATATGACATCACATCCGTTGTGACAAGTTAACTCCGGGTAAGTCAAGCTACTAACCACCTATGGGGGGTACCATAGGCACGTCATTGTGGCACCGGTGGCGTGAAACTAACTGTGGCAGTGTGACCAGTCCACGACGTCTCCTCTTTTGTGCTCTCGTGAGAGCTATTTGGTGTGATGGATACTAGTTATATACGACAAATACAACAAATAAACTCACACACCCTCCTCACCTATGGTGAGGTTTGAACCCTTGACCTCCTAGAAGGCCAAGGGCTATGATACCGCTAGGCCAAAGGCCCTTTGGTATGGATACTAGTTTTAGGAGGCTTATGGATCAGCCATAGCACATGTGATTCGTTTCTAGGGTGTAGTGTCCAAGTCCACATCTCACATCTAGTACATGTGGATCTGCAGTCCAACATACAGGCATGTGTGGCCATATGTCTGACACTTGTCCTGTTGGTTGACATGCAAGTGTATGCGTTTTTCGAGCTCGATTTATATCCCTTCATATGCTTTCGTATGATTATGTTATTTGTTGATTTTACCAAGATTTTGTACTTGTTTTGTTCGATATCTTGAGATTAATTTTGGCATGTTTGTATTACCATTTTACTATAATTGTTTATCCATTCACTAGGCATTTGGCTCAGCCGTGTTCTGTTTTGTTGCTCACGGCAGGTAATCAAGGGGGCGACTAAGTCTTGTGACGGAGAGTAGACAAGGATCTCAATTTCAAAGGTTTCGAGAGGTTTAGTGTTATGTTATTCATTTATTGGATTTATTTCTTTGGCTATTAGACTAGCATTTCTTTTAAGGTTGTATTTGGATTTTCCTTGAGTTGTTGGAAGGTTCTTGAAGTGGTTTGTTTGGAGATGTTTATTTCTTTGTTTGGGAGATATTTAATTTCGTTACTGGAATATTTAACTTTTTTATATTGGAGACTATATTTTGGAGGTTTTATATGTCGGCTTCATTACGTTTCGAAGCGATCTACAATGGGGGTGCTACAATTACAGTATATGAACTTGTATATTTATAATCCTTAGTATCTCTTGACCAGGTGGTTGTATCAGTTGAGTAATTGAAATAGTAATCACCATACATAATTTCTGCACAGATGGGAGTTATTTCAGCCCTTTGATCTACTTCACTACTAACCAGCACCACTTTTTGGGGCAGAATTCTAATGCAGCAGTACTGCATGCTAACAACATATGGTGTTGTTTCAATCATTTAGGGCAATTTTTGGTACAAGTTTGTGGCTTTCTTTTTCAAGATTATAACAACATATTATCTTTACATGTCCACTCTAGGTGCAGTTACCTCCATGCATCGATTGCCCCTCCCCCAGAAGAAAAATGAAGATTACCAGTAATCTCCACAAGAGCATAAACCATTAGCGAATGATGAAACCTCCTTGTATCACGAATGATGATCTTACGCTTTTCAACAGACGATACAAACTTTGCCATGTTGTGGCAATCACCGCAGATCCTCAGGTTCTTTGTGATTATCAGAGGCTTGCTGTCATTATAAACCAAAAGACCGAATGCAATTGCCAGCTTTTCACTGTGTTTGCTCACCAAACTTTCTTTAACTTCTTCCTCTACATCATGTAGAACGAACTCCGGATTGGGTACATGTCCAGCCTTTTGTATTTTCTTGATAACTTCATCTAACTTAGCATTTATACTCTCACTCTCAGGGTGAGCTTGATCATTCATAAGAAAGTGATGAATCTTGTGCCCATGTTCAATAAAGCTGCAGCCGATAGTTCTTATAAGACCTTTCTCCTTCATTAGGGCTCGAACTTTTGAAAAATCTTTCCAATGACCAGCCTTAGCGTATATGCTCGGTAGCATAATATAATTTCTAGGGCCCAAGGGGTTTAAAGCAATCAGTCTTTCTACAACTTCCTCATCAAGCTCTACGTCGACGTGCGTTAACCAAGGAAGAAAGATTCAATCATGCCCAAGCACAACTCAGAAATGTTATCGAACGTGCTTTTAGTGTATTGAAAGAAAGATTTCCAATTTTGAAACAAGTGGCCCCTTATCCTTTTCGAATACGAAGAAACATTGCAGTTGCTTGTTTCGCAATCTGTAACTTTATAAGAAGATGCAATATGCAAAATCAATTATTCATGGACTACGACAGTAACCTCATGTTCATCAATGAAGCATAAGAACAAATTGATGGAGGTGAGGAAAAAGAGATAGATGCAATGCCTTGGGGTCCCCAAGACAATGAGTACATGGCTAATTTGTGTAATGAGATTGCAAATCAATTAGTGTTAAATGTTTCAAGTTAGATGTTGTACACAACATATTGGGTTTGAACTTGCATTTCATGTGATGTTTTGTTATGCCAAAACTTGAACGAACAATTGTTATGCTTGTTTAGATTGATATGATATCATGTATTGGCTTGGACCGTTAATTATTTTTTATTTTTTATCTAGAAATTTCCATCAGAATGTTTGTTAGACGTTAATTTTCATTAAACACAAGACTGGGGTAAAATGATAATTTTATGTCATTCAAACTGTTGATCCAAAACAGTTCCAAACAACCATTTTCATATCTAGACTAAATCATTCTGATCACTTAATCATTCTACACTCAATCATTCAGTATTTGCCAAACAGCCCCTAAGGTTACCCATTGCTAATTTTTTGGTTATGGCTCTTGTAACATCCACCCTCTTAAATATGCTTAACTAGTGATTCTAAATATGTATTATATGTTAAAACATGCTTTATGGGCTAATTGTGTAAAAAGAGAATTTGCTAAAATGCCTAGTGTACTAGTGAGCTATAATTAGAACCCATAGTTAGAATGAGATGTAGGAGATAAGTTTGGTTCTAACACCTCACAAATGGCATAATTAGACGATGTGAGGGTTCAAAATACAAAGTGCATTGCCTAAATGGAAATCAGGTAGGTAACTAGAGTGCCTAAATGGGAAAAATCTACCCAAAASTTGAACRGATGATCTAAATGGTGATSTAAAGGTTGGAACACCTATGAATAAGTTAATATGAAGTGTTAAAAGTGGCGGAAGTCGAAAAAGTCGCGTAGATTGCATTTTATGCAAGGTTTACAAATTACGTTGCTTTTTCGGTAAAGTACGTTCACAACACTCAAACATGAGGTGTTTTATGGCATTTTAAGCTTTGGAACTAAGTTTTGGACCTATTAGGAGTTGCTGGAGGTGTCGTAAAATTTTTACTGGATTCCGGGCTCAAAATAAAAAACGACAAAATTGTAAAGGAAAGCATAACACCTACAAATATGTAAACCTGCTTTTATTGGGAGGTTTTTTTTGGATTATTTTTTTGGAATTTATAATTTATCTAGTTACGAACGCGTAGGCGAAAACCTCATCGAAAGCGGAGGTCCGTGCGAAAAGTTATTAGTTTTTTTGTATTAGGTGGTCAATGTTTTATCCTGTTTTAGAAAAAATTGTATAAAATCATAGAAAAATCGTATAAGGGGTGAGTCCAGTGGCCTTTGAAAGGTATGGCTTCTTAGTGTATTTTATATAGATATGTCATAATCTAATTACAACTTTAAGATGGGTAAAAAAATGCACTTTGCACAGTGTTGTCAAACTGAATTCTGACAGCCTATACCTGCTGTGTTGCAAAATTTGTATAAAATCAAAGAAAAATTCTGTAGATACAACATTAGTTCCATTGTAAATATAACTGAGTCTAGTTTAATTCACATTTAGAAGTCATTGAGTGATTTTGAGGTTATGTGGGGTAAAACAGGGCTAGAACACAGTGCTGTAATTAGAAAATTGAAGTATGAAAGTTAACTAGTTATGGGGCTAAATTGAGTTATATGCATCCAATGCTCATGAAACTTAATGTACATATCCAGTGGATATTTGAAGCTTGTTTGGTGCTTCTGGAAGGTATCTTAGTGTGCAAACATGAGATTGGTAACGGTAAAAGCTCGGTGAGTTAAATGTTTATTCAAGTTATATTGTATTATGTGTATATGTATATCTCGTATGTTTACATGATTTGGATGTCCTCTAAGCTGGTTGGTTTTGTCTTTGGTCAATCATGTGCGTTGGTCTTCAGATTGAGATTCCTCTATACTGTCGTTCGGTTTCGGATCCGAATTCCGTTGGTTTTGTTTTTTTGGTTTCTTTGTTATTCCGGGAGTACGGGTACTACTTTGTGTGGTATGCCGGTAGAAACTGTGGATGTCAACAGCCCGGTTGAAGAGGGGGAGCCGGTGACACATTCGTGTGGTATACTAATTGTCCAATGGTTCAGAGGGGCATGAATACGGGACTCGGGCATACCCGGGAGATGAAGGTGGGTCCCTACTAGTCTTTGGTATTCTATTTGGTTATGCATAGGGGCTTGGGCATACCCGTATGATGATTGTGGGTCCCTGCTAGTCCTATGCAATTATGTTTGATGTATTGTGAATATATGATACTATGATATACATTTGTTATGATTGATTTCTATGAAACTCTTGCGAGGGGTGATTATGTATTCTATGACTAATGTTTTGGAACGTGTTTACAGTATGACATCGTTGATAAGATTAGATTCTCATAAATTGATCATTGGAATCGTTATTGTTGATTTATTATGGTATGTTTTTGGTATGTGTACGGACAAACAGATTTTCTTATTGAGTATGTCTTTGGTTCGTTTTCTTGCCATATATATATATATATATGTGTGTGTGTGTGTGTGTGTGTGTGTGTAATGCTAATATTCTTTGTTTAGTTCATTTAATTCACTAAGCCTTGTGCTTAATCCGAATTCTCCAACATATTTCTTTTTCAGGAAAAGAATTAGACAAGGGAAAAGATCCGATGAAATAGTTGATTCGGTAGAAAAACTTGATCTAGTTTCTGGTACATGATTTGTTATGTTCTTTTTTTGTAATATTTTGGCATGTATATATATATTTTAATCAGGGTAGTTATATTATGTCTCGGATGGTTTAGGTTCATTCAGTTTGTAAGTAATTAATAATTTTGGTTGTGTTTGACTTTATTGGGTCAAACCGTTTGAACATTTTTGGCGGTTTTAAAACTAAAGTTTGTATCCCGTATGTTTTGGAGGTTTAAAATCAATGTTTTGGTGATTATGGGTTATTTGGACGTTTTATAACCACGGTGTTACAGCTCTAGCTTAAATAGGGGTTGTTCGGTTGTTTTTCATTTAAGAGTCTGTTTGTTAGCAACTTAATAAGCTTAATATGACTCATAGCTTATTCAATTAATTATACATGATTGCTTGGTGATGACTTAATGAAAAGCGGCTTATTCAGTAACCTTTTAGGAAAAGCGGCTTATTCAGTAACATTTTAGGAAAAGCTTTATGTATAGAGTCAAGTTTTTAATTTTTTTTCTAAACCTGTCATTCCCAATTAAAAACACGCTCATTCCAAGCAAAAACATTCTCAACATATACAGACAGATTAATCCATATAGACGATTTTATCCATTAAGGAAAGTTATTATTTGCTACAGGTACCAGACTTTGGTTTGAGATGAATATTTTCAAGATCAGAAAGGAGGATCATCAAGACCAGATGGCAGATGCATCAATGATTCAGTGGAGCTTCTTCTTCACATGAAAACAAACCCACAAACCAATCTCTCTTCTTATAGACTCTGGATGGGTTGCATCATCTTAACACCCAAAACCAGTAAAAATTAGCAAGAAAAAAAGAACCCCCATCTCTGATTTGTAAAACATGTTTGTAACTTCTTACAATAAACAGATGGCTTCATTCCAGAGTAGGAAAACTGATTTAAGGCAGATCGATCTTCGTTCCAGAGATGGAACTAATATGGGATTTGGATTGAAATGACAACCATCTCCAAGGGATTGCAAATCACCAATCAAACAGGTTCTTGAAAAAAACTCTAATAGGGATCAAACTGCATACTATTATAAAACACAACCTTTTATGGGGTTCAAGAAACATTGAACTTTGTTTTTGTTATTTAAACCTTTAATGATAGCTTTATGTGGGATGGGGGAGTCGGGAAGACCATAATGGTGCAAAAGCTAAAGAAAGTTGTAAGTGAAAAGAAGTTGTTTGATTTTATTATTGAGGCTGTTATAGGGGAAAAGATGGAGGTGCTTCTAATTCAGCAAGCTATAGTAGACTTCCTGAGTTTAGATCTAAAAGAAACCACTGCAGCAGCTAGAGCTATTAAGCTTCGTAAAAGTTTCGAGGCCCGTTCTGATGGTGGTAAGAAGAAGTTCCTAATACTAGTAGATGATGTATGGCAGTTCGTTGATCTGAATGATATCGGGTTTAAGTCCATTGCCAAATCAAGGTATCGATTTTAAGGTATTGTTGACATCACGAGACCGAGGTGTTTGTACTATGATGGGAGTTGAACTTAATTCAACCCCTTCATGAGTGAGCTGAGTTAAGTTGACGGGTAGTTATGTGTTGAGAGAAAAGAAATGAAACAACTAATAATATCATTTCTTATCAGCAGATATTTGAGGGAGCTGGTTTGTTTTTCGTAACTACTTTCCCAGTGTAGCTAAAGCTTATGCATTTCATTCAGTCTATTTTTATGAACCATGCTGCTGCACATTTTGAAATACAAATGAGGGTTAGACTTTGAGGTTTAGTGAGAAATCCTTTTGTTTGCTATTACAGGGTGAAAAATCACCAAAACACTTTTACAAACCCATATTTGTATAAATAACAAATGAAACAACGTTTTGTCAAAACTAACCTCTTTTGTCACATCAAAATAATGAGACAACACCCCTTTATCATATCAAATAATCAAATAACTCACCTATCGCTGTAACACCCCCATACTCTACATTTGCATAAAACACATATTTCATTACATAGAAACATGGATTACTTCAAAAGGTCCCACTACTACAAGGATTACCATATGTACAAAATTTACATATAAAATCCCCAAAACAAATCATGTACTACTACATGTAATGTAACATGTATCTTCAAAAGCAGATAACAGGTTAGGAAAATAATCACATTTTCCCTTTCCCTTTTAAATCCCCGGACCCAGCTACTCCTGCATTGATTTAAAACAGAAAATGAGGGTTAGACCAAACGGGTCTAGTGAGTAAATCCCTTCTTTGCAAGTGCAGGGTGATAAACACCAAAATATGATGATGAAATTTTTGCTTAGAAATATACTGCAATACAAATAATGATGCAGTTCACAACATCCCGAAATAAGACGTATATCCAAGAACCTCAATAAAAAGATCTCTGAATAGAGATCCAACATTCCCAGTATCAAAACTTTTTGAATTAAAAGACCATTCCTTTATCAGGAAAGATTTAAGGCAAAAACTTGCCTGATATGTCAAACCATTTTCCCCTTCTCAATAACATCTAAATTATTACTTCTAAATAGGAATAATATCTTTAATTCATCAGGTCACAAAGAAATGATGACTCAAAGTTATTAAATCCAATTTARTAATAATAATAAGAGTTATAATAATATCCATATATGACAATGCCACCCTTATTCCAAGTACACCTCTCCTTGGTATGCCACCATTGTTCCTCCATCAAAACAGGGCTACTTATCAGAACAGACAAAAGTCACCACGTCTGGGGAACTACTATTTAAAACAGTGTTTCATACCAAAACAGACTTACGTTACCACKCTTGGTAGAAACAATTTATAAAATCCACTCCCATACCAAAACAGACTTATGTCACCACGCTTGGTAGGAGGGTTTTCCAAAAAATATAGTTTCGTACCAAAACAGACTTACGTCACCACGCTTGGTAGAAACATTTCCCAAAAATACCGTTCCAATACCAAAACAGACTTACGTCACCATGCTTGGTAGGAACAAATGTTTATTTAAAAGGATAAAAAAATACCCATTTTATAATCCACAGTTAATCTTAATAATATACATTTTACATCATATAAAAAGTCTAAATATAAAACTTATGAAAATTCCAATTAAAGTTATCCGGACAACAAGTCCGGTCAACAATCATCCGGTTTCAAGTCCGGTCAACTAGTCCGGTTAACAATCATCCGGTTTAAACACTTGGAATACATTCCACTTTGTCCGGACATCTAATCCGGTCAACACATCATACACTCGTTGAACGGTTTAACACTTAGAACAATATTCATATTGAAYGGATAACAAATCCGGACAACAATCYGTTCAAGACTCGTCCGRTTTAAGACTAWACCGCTCATTATTCACCCGATTTACCAACACCGGACAATCAAACCGCTCATGACTTGTCCGGTTTAAACTTAGTCCGGTCACTAAACCGTCTAAGGCTTGTCCGGTTTAAAACAATCCGGACACTAAACCGACTAAGGCTTGTCCGGTTCCACTGTACTTTAACCAGACTTATTTCTTTGTTTCTCAACACCCTGATCTTTCTGTCAATTATGGCTTCGGGTGTTTCTACAAAATTCAATTAACTGTCTAATTGAATTTCTGGCAAAGGTACAGCTAGATTCGGATCAGCCAAACATTTCCGCAGGTTCGACACATGAAAAGTGTTGTGAATCAAACTCAGTTCATCTGACAGTTCTAACTGATATGCTACTGGCCCAATTCGCTTACATATTCTGAACGGCCCCACATACCTTGGACTGAGCTTTCCTTTCCTTCCAAATCTGACAACACCCTTCCATGGCGAAACTTTTAACATCACATAATCACCTATATAAAATTCAATCGGCTTTCGACGATTATCGGCATAACTTTTCTGGTGATCTTGAGCTTTTTTGATTCTTTCGCGGATCTGTTCAATCTTTTCAGAAGTTTCTTGTACAACTTCAGGACCCGTCAGTTGTTTTTCACCCACCTCATTCCAACACAACGGCATTCGACATTTACGTCCATACAATACTTCATACGGTGCCGCTTGGATGCTAGAATGATAACTATTGTTGTATGCAAACTCTATCAATGGCAAGCGATCTTCCCACGATCCCCCGAAATCAATAACACAACTTCTTAACATATCTTCGAGAGTYTGAATAGTTCTTTCACTTTGTCCGTCAGTCTGTGGATGATATGTTGTACTTAGTCGAATTTCGAATCCCAAAGCTTTTTGTAATCCTTCCCAGAACTTGGAAGTAAACCGACTATCTCTATCAGAAATTATAGACAAAGGAACACCGTGTCTAGTAACAATTTCTTCGATGTAAATCTGCGCTAGCTTTTGCAAAGAGTATTTTTCTCTTATTGGTAGAAAATGCGCAGATTT